TGGGTTGGGTGTTCAGGAATGCAGGTAGCAGCTGAGACATTCTTTCAATATCAGAGGTGGTGCCTAGCTACAGGCCAAAAACAAGGGACATACTGTATAACGGGGTATATGCATTATGGTCTTAGAGGGGGCAAGTAATGACTTACTTGGTGCTTAATGAGTCAAGGAACTTGGGAATGATAAATTGAATTTCCAGTTATCTATTCAAAAACAGATGGTCACATTTCAAAACACTTAATTGCCAGCATGCTAACTTTAAAGGTCACACAGTGCTCTCAGCTGAAGTTTTCTATTGTTTGAGGTTTCTGCTTGCAGGCTGAGTGCAATATCCTGCACATTTTTCTAGCCTGTGGTGATACTAGTCACTTTAATCTGACATAAATATGGCCTGCCACCCCTAGTTGGATCTTCTCCTTCCTCCTTTGGGTAGGCATGAGCATTTGTGCAGCTGCATGGTGATCTGACTCACTCTAAAAATGCTAGTTCTGGTGCAGCTGACGATGGCGGGAACAGGCAAGCTGGGGGAACACGGGACAGTGGGCAGCATTTACATCAGATCACAATGACTGATAGAGAGCATAAGTAAAATCATCTTAAGCTTCATGGATGAATTTGAAATATTCTGTAGCTTGGGTGCCACTCTCATACTTTTATTGTATTACTGCCAAGTGTAATTAAATCTGTAGAAGAAATTTCACAGCATGCAATGCTAAATCAGACAAACCAAGCTGTGACATAGTTAACCAAACCATACCTGAGTCTCATGGTGAAGGCTCTTTATGCTAACAAATAATCACATGTTAAACAGAAGAATCTGGAGAAGCTTCAAGTTTATTGTTCTCCTTGGTTTGCTTGCCAAGGCAGCAATGCAAGTAATTAACTGTTCAGTCACATCCAAAACCAAGTAGTAGGGAAGAAATAATAGTAAAGGGTAATGAATACGCTTCTATGTCCTGTCTTATTGTAGCCAACCACATTTCTAATATCTTTAAAAAAGATTTATAATGTAACATTGAAGTTAGAGATTGTTCATGTAGAGATTTTTCATTTTTACTTTGTCACATCAATTTTAACCTTTTCAGTTTCCTCTAGATAATTCGTCTCTCACTTTTTTTTTTTTTTTTTTTTTTGATATAACTGCTGTATCATTCTTCATCACCTAATTTTTCCAGTTCTCTCTGAAAGGTCTTGCTTTGCACCATTGGTCAACTTTTAAGGGTTGCTTTTCAGTCTTTTTGGTTAATGAAGGCTCAGGCACACAAAAGGGAAGAAGAGTCTCCTGGCAAAACTAAGCTACAGTTTCTGAGTCTGTCTTTTACCAGCCTTTCTCTGCCTCCTTTCCATGGGATGTGCACATACAGATTTTGAATGAAAAGGTATTTAAATTGTAACTCCAAAGAGTTAACTATCAGACTGTAATCTAAAAGAATTAACTTATTTCAGATAAAGGCCATCTTTGTTGTGTGGTCAGTAATGCCACTTTTCCTCTTTCACACACAGACTTCTAGATCCTCTTTAGTAGGTCCTGTTGCATACAGAGAAGTGGTAATGAATACCACAAGAAGCATCTGTGGCAATGCAGATCACTTCAATTTTCTCTTGGCTTCTAATACAGCTTTTTTTTTTTTTTTTCTTTAGCTTTTAAACCACCTCTTCTGATAGCAAAGGGAATATAGATTTCTTCTATTTGATACAGTATTGCCCATAATCAGAGTTGCTAGGAGTAATCATTTAGCTGTGCTGAGCATTGTTGCACACGCTATTTGTTCCATCTCACAAAAAGCAGTGCAATGACCCCTAGCACAGTTCTGGGCGTTTGCACCTCATGCCACCATGTACAAGCCTGTTCAAGCTTTGAAACACTCTCCAGCTGAAGGTTTCTGCTCCTCTCTATGCTCTGTGACAACAGAGATGAAACTGGTTTAGTTTTTTTGCTGCTAAAGGGACCTTCTTGATGTGTCTGTCCAACATGGATTTGTTTGTGTCAGTGCACACATGTATGTGATACAGCCTGAACCAGATAGTGACTAAGAAGCTGCTGAAGAGCAGCTTTTCCTCCTCAGAGCAAACCTCAGAATCCTTGGAGTGAACTTGATGGGATGACATTTCTTCACAAAGAAATGGTTTAGTTCTCAGAAGTGGGTCATTCTCTTTATTCTCCTCAAGAAGGTGCATGGTAATCAGAGTAAAACCACTAAATCTTCTGAGTTCTAGCATCTTCCCAGCTACTTCAGGGAAAACTTTTCTTGTCTGATGATCCCTGTATTTGTCCTGTGAATCCTGTTTCTCATAGCAGTTGATTTTTCCTTTCCTGTATTTTTCATCAGATTCCTCTAGAACTCAAATCCTGTCATTATTTATCTTGTAGTACACCTGAATGCTTTTTCTGACCAATACTTTTCTAATCATCTTGTCTGCAGAGTTAAAAGAGAAAAGTAGCTTTGCTCTCTTAAAGAGCTGTTGTTTCACATAAATTCTATGATAATACCTTCTTTTTTGTGCTTTTGTGCTGTGTAAGCAAACAAGTTACAATTTCAGAGTCTTTTTTTCAGTTTTCTTCTCATTAATCAGTGGTTAAGAAATACCTCTCAAGGCTGATATCTGAAGGCAGCTGTAGTCAAGTAAGGACCTTGATTAACTTCCTTTGTTTTCTTAGTTTGAACAATACATTCTCTTATCCCTTTTGGGTTTTGCAATGCCTGGGCTTTTAAATTACTATAGAATGGACTATTATTGTCTTAGAAAACACCAGGAGCATGATTACCTCTTGTGAAGTTATTTATATTTGCATATGGCAAATGACAAATGGAATTTTAATTTAAATGAGTAGAGAATGATGGTGTATAATTGTAGCATCTTCCAAACTGCACAGTTTTCACAGTTGTGATGTCCTGTGGTGCAAAGGAATGAAAAATCATGTTCTTGATTAGGAATTTTTTGCCTTTTCAAAAGAAATTTCAGCTGATAATTTCCTTTTTGTTTCAATTTTGGCATTCTCTAGTTGACATAATTTAGTATAGCCTGATTTAAGTAAGAAATTCATACACTTTGCCAGTTGTTTCCTGGAAGTTTGCTTGCTTTGGTCTGCAGTAAGTAGACAGTACATATGACAAACTGATTGCTGTGGTGATACATGACCAAGCTGCCTGTTTATTCCAGATTTTGGAAAGTGAATCCTTTTGCATAGTTTGATTTACAGATGTTCTCTCTAAGTAAAGTATTTCTGTGTTCATATTTATTTGTATCAGTATTTTCTATTTTTATCTGACGTGAAGGTATTCAGTGGTAGAGATTTTGTGCCTGTTTAGAGCTGACAGTATGTTCAGCTTTGTACAAAAGTGACCAGCAGACAATCACTGCCCTGGAGAGTTTAAAGTCTGAAAATACCTCAGCTAATGCCTCAGCTTTTTTCAGCCTTTAACATTCTCAATATTTTCTTACTGTTTTGTCTCATCCTAGTAAACCTCAATTTTAAACTGTTAGCCAAAGCCAATCAGCTTGGTTCCTATCTGAAAATAATCTGGTACAAGGTAACTTATTCATTTTTAGATTTGAAAATGCATGTGGGTTCAATCCAGCATTCACTGAAGAGCAGAGTCCCATTGTTATGGACCCCTCTGGGTAACTTTAATCTTGCCTACCTGCTCTCAGTAGTGCCAGCAAATCATCTGCAAGGCCTCTGGCTGAATTACCTCTCTTCTTTCTGGCTGTAGAGAGCAGTTTAGTTGCAGCAAACTGCTGGAACTCTGGCTGTAAATGACATCATCTGGGTAAGACCTGTCCATCCTCCTGATGCTTTCATCAACATGGGTGTATTTTGAAGAAATTAAATATATGTTTCTCCAGCCATGAAATGTACGTCTTTCACATTCAGAACTGTGATGTGGGTTTTTTTACCATTAGAACTGTTAGAAACAAGGTGAAGATTAGTGTGATCTGCTAGCTTAATGCTAGACAAGGGAAGGCCAGCAAGAGATGACATCATGTGCTAATGGCAAAGGGACTAAACAAGAATGAGGAAAAAACAAACTTTGTCATAAAGGCTTTGCAGTCCACTGGATACTGACTGCCTCTTTTAGTGAGAGTATTTTTGTAAGTGTTTCTGCCTCTGTGGTTTCTCCTTTCTAAGAACAACATCAATCAGCACTGAGCTGTGGTATCTCAAATTCTTTCTAGGGATTAAGCTACAGGTTTAATTTTTGGGCTGGTATAAGGACCATCTGTTCAGTGTAGTTTTCAGGCAGTATCTATATGTGTGTTGTGAACATGCAGAACTCACTGCAAGAAGATAAGGTAGAGAATAGACTTTAACATCTTGTTAATTTCAGTTTTGTTTTTAATTCTGTTGTGCTTGAAAGAGTTTTTCCAAAGGATGAAGCCATCATATCCTGTTCTATATGTGGTGATCTAAGGGAGGACAGTTTCAGGTTGCTCTTCGGAGTGGTTGAACTGTGTGATAGCTCACAGGGTTGGTAAGAGATGGAGACATTCTCTGTCCCAAAACTACTGCTATATTGTGGAAACTACAGTAGCTGAATGCTTCTGAGAAAGTGAGCATTTCACATTTCACTCTCTGTTCATATATTACTGATCTCCTCAGCATATACTTTGTACTGATGATTCTTCCTCTTTAGCTCCATTCTCATCCCATTAAGTCACTGTTTATAAAAAATTGCTTTTTACTGTCCCATCTGGTATGAAAATTATGCCACAAAGCACTGCAGGAGCCCCCCACACTTTTGTGTGTTTCAGACTGAGTCCTAAACCCATATTACCCCCACCTGACAAGGGCTACTTCTGTTGCAGAAACCAGAGCCACTTTTCTGCTTTGACATCCTCCTGGGTTACTGAACCAGTTCTCATGCCTTCTCCTACAATTCAGCCTCCATCTCTTCCATCATATGTAGGGACTATCTTCACCTTAATTTATTATTCTTATTGTTTTCAAAGATATGAAGTTGTTTACTGATTTAAAATGTTTATATTTTGTCTCTTTGCAGGAAGAGAGAAAGAACAATGAGACTTTCCCAGGGGCTCAAATCCAAGAGAAGGCTGAAAAGTTAGAAAGGGAAAAGAAGGAGGTACAAAAAGGATCATCAGCTACACTACCACACAGAAGTAGCCTCTCTTCCCATTCCTGCTCCATCTGATGTTACCACCAAAGGTAGGATATGAGAGATTCATATGAGACATTCATCAGAGATTCATTGTTGACCCTAAGGTATATTGCATATTCCTTAGCTACAGACCTTACTGATCTCCTATCAGCAGTCCTTCACTCTTCATTGTGAGCCTTATTCTGTTATTTCTGTAAAAGGGTTAGTAGATGTTAGGAACCAGCTGAATGAATGTTTAGGTCTTAAAACACTATGGAACTCACTGAGAAGGAAAAATACAGAAGTTTGTAAAAAATTTTCATTAAAGAAGTCTGTTTTCAACTCCAATTTTTCAATGCTTTACCAGAAACAACCATGGATTTGAATCGCTAGGAATCCTGATCCACAAACTCAAGGCTAAAATGAGACAACTATAAAACTGTGAAACTTTGCATATCTGTTTTTCACTTACTACTTTCATGGACCTTCCTCTGAATGCAGATCTAGCTTAGCTGATCTTGTGGTATCCCCTCCCTGATGAATGATAAAAACACTTCTGGGTGCTGCTGTTGTTGATAAGGACCTGAGCTGTCTCTGTGGGAAGGAAGAAACTCATGGGTAAAGGAGAAGCTGACAAATGGGCATGAGAAGGATTCACGGTGATCCCAAACCATGACTGTAACTCATAAGTTAGAGCCTTGTCTCTAGTGAGCACATCAAAATACAAAGAAGCAGATGGATTTTATTGCACTTCAGGTACAGAGAAAAGAAAAAACAGCTTGGTACCCACCAGTTTTTTCTCTGTTCCTCACAGCTCCTTGGCCATGTTAAATCTGCTGTCTGAGCTACCCCATGAGCAGGTTATAATGTCTTTCAGTCAAATTAACTAGTTGGACAACCTGTGTTCCTTAATACAATTGACCAGATTATGCAGATTTAATCCAGATCAGGCATGGATGTGTGATCCCAACTCTGCAAAGTTAACCAGAGAATGTGATATGCATGCTGGTTTTATTCTTTATTCACCCTGGTTTACACTGGGTGCAGGACAGCAGAACATTTCTAGCCCAGTATAAACATAAAGCAGCACATACAGACAATCCCTGAGGTAATGTCAGGTCTACTAGGACAAATTTACCTATTTTAACGTTACTTGAACCAAGCTGAAGTGGCAGGCTGAGTTTCTACTAGTGGAATGCTCTGTATTGTGCAGCCATGCAGTTTTGGACTTGATGCTGATTTTCGGACGATTTTAAAAACTGCTTCTTGCTTTCACACTTAATTTACCATCTCATGGTGCTACAGCACTCAGAAGTACAGAAAACGGGTATTTGTTATGATGTCTTTTTTCACTGAAACAGTGTAAAAGAATTTCTGTTTTGCCATCAACATAATGGGATTTACCTATTAAAAGTCAGCCTACAAGCAAAGGGGTCCAATACTCCTGTATTTTTCTATTTTTTCCCCATATAGATGTAACTAAGCCTCAGTAAATGATAAAGAAGCATGAAATGCTATTCCTTTACATTTGTGTTAATAAAGTTTCAGATATGCTCTGAATGTTTTCTTCTACTAGTTGTAAGGCACAAAGTACAACATTTTTTTCAAATGTAATTATTAATTTACAGAAAAGTTGACAGAATGTGAAACAAGGGCCTGTAATCAGATTTCATTTCTGATTTTGGGGAAAATTTTGTTTGGCACTGTCTTATTTTTCTCCAGTGTCTCAGTTCCTGACAGGTGACAGGCATGTTATAGTCCAGGCAGAATAATATACTTTCTGTGCCTTTTCTGTACTTCTTTTACATGAAAAGAGAAAAATTCAGTAGCTCAGGATGACAACTGCCCAATGGCTTGTGTTGGAGAACTTTTTATTTGGAATAATTCATTATGAATATATTGCTCCATCAAGATGCACTTAGCAGATAAATCTTTATAGAAATAGTCTTTGCCTTTTAACTTTGTCATTACAATAAAAGTATTTTGTTATCATGTGTTTTCATACTCATTCACTTTCTACCATATTTCTCAGCTGTACCATCATCCAGTCAGTGCAAGAGGTCTCCAGAGTGAATACTGGATAACATATAAGTGAATAAACCTCTAGTTAAGTGAAGCTTAGGCATCTAGATAAAGAACAATCCAAATTTCATGGAATAATCCACCTTAAATTGTTATAGTCTGTAGAAAAAACTTTTTCATGTATCTTGAGAATGATTAATCTCTTTTACAAAGTGTACTCTTGCATTGTCTGGACTAAACATCCAGAAACCTATCCTTCTGTCCCTGGAGTACCTAGACATGGACTTACATTTATACTGATGAACACAGATGAAATCGTATTTGTACAGCTTATCACCCAGCCCTGTAAAACATGTGACCTTCATAAACTCAGGGTATCATGTCCTTGAGTTTAAGGTATCTGAAATAATATCTGTGGTCTTACATCCCAGGAAAATGGGATAGCAAGAAACTTACAGCAAGAAACTGCTGTGCATCCACTCCCTACCATGTGGGATGATATGTAGGCCATGTGGGAGTACTGGGGAGACCTAGTGGGTGAAAAGTCCATTGGGACAGGGTTGCAGGAGAGCAGGATGTCTGACATGCTATACTGGTTCTGCATTCTGCAGGACTGCTGTCTTCCTGTATTGTACTTTGGCACTATCTGGAAGAGCTCTAGCTCATCCATATGTTATGTCTACTCTCCCAGCTTGACAGTAAGACAAAATTTTGGGCTAGTGGCCAAGCCTGTGTCAAGGCCAGTGGGGTTAGTCAAACCCTAGTTAATTTTCTAGTGTAGAGATTATTTGAGTACCTAGTCATAAATCTAGAAAGAACTTCATGTCACAGCATTTGAGATGGATATTAGAGTCTGGTGCCTGATTTAAAAATGGCACTTAGGTACCTTATATCAAAGCTCATGTGTTTGAAAGACTTTGAGATCACTTCCCCAAAATTTTTGACTGGGCGGCTAATGCGTCATAGTACTCAATATGTGTGCTCTAGAAATCACATTTTTAGATATCATTTGGTATCTAAAACATTCCTTGGTAGTGTGAATTCAGTCCATGAAAGCACTTTAATATAGGCCGTGAACATCAATAAATTGTAGCCTATCTTACATGCTTAGGTAGATTGTCTAAGACTACTCTTAAACCTTATCTCTTTTGGTATTGCAAAGAATGATTTCAGGAATGTTTTGCTTCTGATGTTTCCATTCACAGCAACTAAAGCACTTCATGATAGAGTTTAGTAGCAACTGTCTGTCTTTTATAGATGTGTGAATGGAAGAACAGAGAGTCTCAGAAAAATGAAGCTAGCTCTGCCCATTAAATTAATTGAATTTTTCAGATCTATAGCTTTCAGACAATTTGAAAACCTTTTAATCCAATCTGCCCACCTCATCACAGACAGATTTTGTAACTCAGTACTGGGGGTGCCTACCCCACAATTTTTTTCCTTAATCCTCCATCACAGTACAGAACTGGACAACAGTGGGACTAGCAAGCTGCAACCACTCAATCCATTTGTACCCAGAGAGAGCTGGGATGATTCAGCTGTTTCATCTAGAGAGGCTTAGTAAAGTCTTCTTTCTCCTAACAAGCCTTTCCATTTGACACTTTCTCACCTATGTGCTAAATGCTTTTGGGAGCTAGGTGTGAAACCAAGAGGAGAAATACACCTGTTTGCATAATGATTTTTTTTTTTTTTTAAATTTAATAGTGGGAAGTATTATGTAACATGACTTTTGCAAACAACTGGAAGTTTAGCTTGGCAAATGGCAGGCAGCCTCTGCACAATATTGTTCCCTGCATGTGGAAATTCCCAGCATGACTGATTTGAAAGTTTAACATAACTGACACCTTGTTGGAAAAAAAGTAGCTCAGACGAAGTGAAATTAAGTACTTCAAAAACTAGGTGCTAGGGCATGAATCTAACAATGCTGAGGAATTTAAGTTGCTTGTTCAAAAAGGGGAGAATAAGAGAGAATAAAACTTTCCTTTTCATGTTCCAAACATCTTCATTTCAGGAGAATGCTGCAGTGGTGTGTTTGATTCCGTTATACATCAAAGGATAGCTGTAACCAGTTCTGTAAGTGGGTTAACATGTGATAATTAAGTGATTTTAAATATTAATCATCCTATTTAAAAGTAACATTGGCAAAGAAAGGCATTCCTAATGAGAAATAAAATTACATTATAAATATTATTCTGTAAAAATGGGACTTATTCAAGTGTTTCTTTGAAGCCAGATGAGAATCAATCCAGTGTCTGAGTACATTCCCAGGGTGCTATGAGGAAGCCGAATTCTTTTCATAATTGTTTGACAAACTTCTTCCAAAACACACAGTGCACAGACTTAAAATGCATTTTTCCTGTCGTGTGTCTGTGTTTATGGGTGAATACCATATGGACTTTGGTCTGAGCTTTGCTCATCTGAAAAGCGCTGGGAGAGGACTCCATGTTTCAGTTAACTGTTTCCTGTCAAGCAGACAAAACATGTTCATCTTAAGGAAACAAAAATGACAAAGTTATTTTAAGGTAAACAAGCCTATGGTTGACATTTTGTTTCCTCAGGGTGTGGGGTACTTTTGTTATTGTTATTCACAACTGCATAAAAGGGACAGATTAGGTATCACTGCTGTTAGCTTCAGCTTTTCTCAGGGAAATAAAGACAGGCTTTGAATAAGAAGTATTTACATAATTTGGAGGCTAAGATGAGCCTGAAGGCACTGATCAACTTAAAGATTTGTCCTATAGTAGCATATTGATGTGAATGTTGAAACAAGGCAGATGTGCCTAAACAACACAAGGTCAGACAGGGTTATGTTCTGAGAAGGGATTCTGAAAACTGATAGAAAGCTTCTATAAAGTTGCTCTCTTTCACAGTTTAATTTACCAGCGGTTAAGGAAAAAATGAGAACATTCATGCAGATTGTATTGGATGGATGTGACTTTGTACAGTGTCCACCCCCACCATGAAGGGCAGTGATTGCAAACTTTCCCATAGGAAACTGATACCAGTTAAAATACATTGTTTGGTTAATGTAGGAAATTTGAATTCT